CGCCGCTGAATGAGAGCGTGCCGTCAGTCACGTTGTTTGCCTTGGAGTGCTTCGGCGCCGACGGTCCCATGAATGGAGACTTACTACTGGCTGACTCTTCTATTGAACTCGAAGGTTAAGAGCCCGGCACAGAGCCAGATGAATCCACAGTCTCCCTACTTCTTTGAGATACTTTTTTCAAAAAATCTTCCGATTTGCGTGTCTTCTCCCTCGAGCGTTTCTCTATCCAATGCGTTCTACGTACTTCCTTGGTTTCATATTTACGTCAAAATTCCTACGCACTCGCCCCCAAGTTCTTCCTGCTGCTGTAGTCAGGTAAAACCGCCCTTTGTACGACACTTCGAGAATACAGAGCCGAAAGAACGAGTTATGCAAATTAAGAGGAACACACGCCTTGGCGACGTACGTGTGCAGCTGTTCTCATAAGAGACACGTGACACGGACTGCACAGCAGCGAAGTGTTGACCTCGCGATGGGCCGTCGCTTCTATTCGAAGCACGAGGTCACGAGAAACGAGACGCATTCGACTGTTGCCAGTGCTCGCTCTGCCCGGAGTCAGGTCTTCTGCACGACACGGAAACGTCGACTATCACGGAGAGGACGTGGGGTTGAAGACGACCGAAAACAGCAACTCTATTGGTTATTACGTCAAGCACGAGCGGTAAAACTTTGCATTCCCCCAGGATGCAGGTTATCGCTAACCACACTCGAAAAACGTTCGGTGTGAGTGATTATCGAACACGCACGTATCAACTACTTGTTATGTATCTCCTGTTCTTTGGCCTTCACGATGATGCTCTCTCTCTCTCTCTCTCTCGTCTTGACTTAGGTCCAGACGTAGTTCTCGTTTCTGCCAGCAGAGGATCCAAACATGTACAGCTAGCGACGCCACACAAGTCCATCGCGAACTAGTAAATCCATTTCGTCAGTAGGGCACGTGAATTCCGCGTCTAATTATAGGCGGGACGAAGCATTGACGGCAGTGGATGATTGTGTTCGATGCGTGTCTGCCCCTATCACGTCGGGGATTCACAACGAATTCAAAGTGCAATGATTACTGGCGTCGAGACGGAAGTCGACGCAGGCAACTCTTAAACTACACAGAGACAAATTAACGAAAGCCGGAAATATGATCCATTCGATTTCTGTCCACGAATCCGACGTCGGTGAACCGAGAATCGAAAGAAAAATTTGAAAGGATTCGGTGTTCATGGCCTTATCAAAAACATCCATCTTCTACTTAGTGCCTAAATTCAGTCCTAAAATGTCTGTCACACTTTCTCCTAGACAAAGACTGATTTAAACATTAATTAATTAATTGAGTCACTGGAAAATATTTCTAGAAATGACGTCTTATGTATTTATTAGTAACTAACACATTTAACCCTTTAAAATCCACATGGGCCATCCGCTTTAACAACGAGCAATGATGCATTTCGTCCGCACGGTGAATTTGCGGCTTTCATATTATTCTCAGAATAAACAGAATTCTGTTTTCTTTGCGGTACGGAAATAAACGGGAACAAAAGAACTGATCTTTAAAAAAAAACACTTCTGTAAATCGATCTGAATTCTAAGCCGGCAGCTTATTTTATTTTGGTTAGGTGCTATTTATAAGTGCGAATTGTGTTAGACAATTATGAACCAGAATTTAAATTCGCCGTATGACGTTTAGTGTAGACCTCCAATACCAAAATTTAATCGAAATTCGTTGTGTAATTTCAGATAAGATACATCCGTCCCAAATAATCTGGCACGACCCCAATTTGCGCCTAAGAATGCTCTGATGGGGATGCCCGCCCGCTTTTATGGCAAAGCCGGAAGATGGAGCACGTGATGGTATTTTAAAACAACCGCCCGCATCAATCAGCTGGTCCTTTGGTACGCAGGGGTTTCCAAATTTCCATTTCATGACGACATGGCTTACCCCTGCGATTTCGTGTTACGAATAACGTGTTCTGTCAATCGAACGTCGTCGAAGTGAGTTTCGCTTCGTTTATCTGCGTTCTGGAAACGGCTCAGGGGCACTGGGTTGCAAAACAGCACAGAAAAGAACGGACGACGCAGATAACACAGACGGAGAAGTTACGACAACCCTAACGCCTAACTTCCTTCTGCAGACTGCCGTCTCCTACCTATTTATTTCTGGTCGTCAATGATGGAAGTTTTCTGAAGATAATCGGACGCTACTGGACAAAATGTTTATCGTCTCACTCGGAACACGTTTTGTCTTGTTCTTGGACAAACAAAATCCAACACTTGGCGCCACTTTCCTGGTCTCTTTTCTTTACGTCAGTGTTACAGCAGGATGACTCCAAGGCGACCTGAGGTTCGCGGCTCTCATCCTGCCTCAGGCCCACCACAGCATCAACAGCCGCGAACCGTCAGATCGGCGCTTGCTCAAGACACAAAGGACGCCTTCGAACACTTCATGCCTCGTCCGATGACGGCGTCCTTCGTCCTTACGAAGGCAGACGCCGACAGATCGAGCGGTTCCCGCGATCTGTAGATCCATCCATCCTCCGAAACGCCGTGATGTAAACAATCTCTTTTCGCCAGTCTTCACTTCACGTAACGCCTTCACCAGAGAACGCGGATTGGATTCAAGTGGCTCAGGACAAGGTCCAGTGGCGAGCTGTCGTGAACACGGTGATGAACCTTCGGGTTAAATACGAAGCGGGTGATTTTGTTGACCAGCTGAGCTACTATCGGCTCCTCGCGCAAGACTTCCTTTGCGTGTCCCGTGGTCTGATCGTTGCGGAACCATATTAAGTGTGCCAGACTGCGTAAGAATAGCCCAGGCCAAGGAACACAGACGGACGGACAGAGCTGCTATGGGCTGGACCACTCGTTCACCTTCATCTTCAATCTGACGCGCACTTTCGCTGCTCCAAGTCTCGTGAAATGAGGTACACCCGAGTTCCACATTCATTCACCGGGTTCTAGTCTGTGTTTTTGCGGACAGCAACCTAACCTAACTAAATCCTATTTGACTGCACCGCCCACCGCCTAAGAGCCAATGGATTGTGAAACTTAGCGCTTTCATTCAGTCTAGAAATTACAGTATTACATAACTGACTTCAGGGAGCAGAGTCGAGGTTGTGAAATTACCAGTGACTACAGCGCAGTTATTACAACCTCGATACAAGATATTTGAGATTGCACGACTCCAGTGGCGAGCTGTCGTGAACACGGTGATGAACCTTCGGGTTAAATACGAAGCGGGTGATTTTGTTGACCAGCTGAGCTACTATCGGCTCCTCGCGCAAGACTTCCTTTGCGTGTCCCGTGGTCTGATCGTTGCGGAACCATATTAAGTGTGCCAGACTGCGTAAGAATAGCCCAGGCCAAGGAACACAGACGGACGGACAGAGCTGCTATGGGCTGGACCACTCGTTCACCTTCATCTTCAATCTGACGCGCACTTTCGCTGCTCCAAGTCTCGTGAAATGAGGTACACCCGAGTTCCACATTCATTCACCGGGTTCTAGTCTGTGTTTTTGCGGACAGCAACCTAACCTAACTAAATCCTATTTGACTGCACCGCCCACCGCCTAAGAGCCAATGGATTGTGAAACTTAGCGCTTTCATTCAGTCTAGAAATTACAGTATTACATAACTGACTTCAGGGAGCAGAGTCGAGGTTGTGAAATTACCAGTGACTACAGCGCAGTTATTACAACCTCGATACAAGATATTTGAGATTGCACGACATTAAATTAAGCAACACTTTTATTAATTTTTTGATAAAAGTGCACGGCTCGGTGAATACAAACGCCAGTCTGTAACTTCTTTCTAAAAGGGATCTTGAACAGAGTAGCCCGTGGCCCACCCAACGAGAAGGGAACGTCGACTGCGAGCCTTTCTTTATAGCATCCCCATCGAGCAACCACGTCAAGACCACGGCCCCCTCATCCAAACTCTTACTTACTCAGGATTTACGATCATTTTCCCACTACGCAACCAAATTTCTGGCGCCAGACAACGCGCCCTGAGCTCGAACGGAGGACAAAGCGGGCCCTTCAGTAATAGTTCGTGTCCCTTGCAAGCGGTTTCTCGACACAGTGTCACAAAACAGACCGAGCTCTTCGCCGTGATGATGGAAGCGGCAAGGACCTCCGAAACGTCGGCAAATTTCTACCAGACCACATGGCGCAAGGCACAACCATCTTCAGACTCACCGCCGTGAGAGCCCCACGTCTTACTTAGCGCACTGACAGTGTATTAACGCCTTCCCAATTCCACTTCGCCCCCCCGCAGTGGGGCATGAAACAGCCTCACGCCCGCTCAACGGAATTGGCTTCAATGAGCTGACCAAATACGGACTTGGAGGTGGGGAATCCTCACGTGGCGTCTGCAAAACGCTGTCCGGTTAGGCCACAGGAGGAAGTGAAAAGCTTCAATGAGATGTTAATCCACGATCAAAATATTGCAGAGTCATCCTTGAGGAGCTGGCAGTAGCTGAGCTTGCCAATAAACCCTTCGACTACCACGCGACCGAAACGTCCATTACAACCCAAAACCGTGCCACAAGACTTCGGTCCACTATCTGCACCCCACTCCTTCAATATCCCCCCAGGTATGACCTGGTCTCCTCCCACCTCAGCCAACTTCATTTCGTAATCGTAACAACGTCTGCTGAAGGGAACAGATTACGAAGTTCAACACCGTGTAATTTTCTCTAGTCCCGTCTCACTCAGCACCTCACAGCAGCTCCGACTCCGGATAAGAGAGCGACTATCAGTTTATCGAGGAACCCTGTGCTCCGTGGAGCGTCGATTCGCTCGTGGGATGGGCACGGAACCAGTTCTCAGTTCTTGCCGCCGGCTGCTGAAATCTTTTAAGCATTAAGTTTACTTTGAGACAGCGTTGCCACACTGCAGGCAACAAATAAACACACAGCAGCCACGGGGTTTGCGACTATAGACAGCCCATCTTTCTAAATAACGATGGAGCAACTCGTGTCTTCGGCAAGGAAAATTCACAGTTCGGGTACTCACCACGTGTCCTCCGGTGTTCGGCAGGTGGCGGTGAAACCCGGCGCCAGGTTTCGCTGCGCCGCTGTTCGTCTGCAAGGACACAAAATAACCAGAGATGAAGCGGATGCGACGACGAGGCGATCCAGCTGTGCGCCCGGAAGGGGCCAATTGGAAAGCGAATTGTCATCAGCGTACAAAGTAGCTGGCAAAATTATCCGGGTGCTCATAATCCACGACCAGTCGACATTTTACACCAAAGTCTCGTTTTCTTGACTTGAACATAAATTCGAGACAGAGAGCCAGAATTAAGGGCCGGTGATTGCTCAACGCGTGCAGTAACCGGGAGAAAACTGTGCGTGTCGCCTACGTCACTCAATACGACCTTGCGGATAGAATTTATACAAAAGCTTACGCGATGCAAACCAAAGACAGTATCGGCAAGCTACAAAATACTGCCGCAACTCAAGCTCGGAGTTATTTTGCATGTAACTTGCTTAACCAAATACGCTACGGGATGATCAATAGGTTCATTACAGTATTCACAACAGCTGGGCCACTGAACACAATCCTGAGGCAGCTGAATCCATTCCACGTCCTGTTTCCTCAAGACTTATCTTACTGTTTCGCTGTCATCCACTCCTAGGTCTACCAAATGCCCTGTTTCCTTCAGATCTTCCGACCAAAAATGTCATGCATTCCTCATCCTCCGTGACTTGGTCATGGCGCTCCCCGTTTCGAAAGTTCTCTCTGTTCGGGTCAGCATCCTTGTACTCAAGCTCCGTCCAGAAGGTCGATGGAACTCTGGCCGGTTGGTCTTAATCCAGTGACCAGAGCTCTTCGGTTCTTCAGTCAACGGAGGTCAATGTCAGTCAGCCGACACCGTTACGCCAATGCGCGCCCATCCTGAGTGACTCACGCACCGCAAGACACTGCTCTGTACGGAGCACAAAGATTTAACTAACAAACTGCATGGAGCACGGTCCTTGACAATCCGAGAAGAACTCAACACGTCGACCATTATTCTGCTCTCATGGAACCGGAAGGTTTATCACCGTGGCCACAAGAACTCGCCACTGGGCCACGTGCTAAGGAACACGAATCCAGTTCACACCCTATTACGACAGATTAATATTAATGTTATCATTCCATCTACCACCAGGTGTGCCAAGAGGTCTCTTCCATTCACGTTTTCAGATACTGATCGAACCCCTGTGAAGATACGTATTTAGGATTAATCCTCTGTAAGCAATGGTAACTATATGCACCACCTGCTTCTCCGTCTAGATAAAGTGTTTTTGTGACAGTGACGTATGTCTTTTTGTGGCTAGAACGAAATTATTAAATATTATCCGGATGAGATCTGACCTCTGTGAAGAATGAAGGGGAATCCAGACAAGCCCGCCGATTAGTTCGCTAATTGTCTGAAGCGCCAAAGACGCAATCGCCACTTCAGTCAGCTGCTGTGCTTAAACCTATCTTCCAAATGGCAAATCGGGTATGAACAACGCGCTTCCTCTACTGACAGATCTGTCACGTTTCAATCATAACACGCGATAAGGCTGAGATCAATAAGTGATCATTAAATATTCCGTCAATCAAAGTTTATGACAGACTCAATAATATGCTGTCCCGATAAAACAGAACTGGACTTCAGGAATTCGCCCCAGAATTCCCGTCTTCACACAAAGAACTTCGTTTGTCCATCAACAGATTCTATCAACTTGTATGCTCCGGGGGGGGGGGGGGGGGGGGGAGGGGGGGTTATTTACGTCCAGCACATGCAGCAAGAACGGCGTTATACGCAAATCTGTAGCGAAGACCTAGACGTAATAATATTAAAATGTGATACAGAAATGTGATGTGAACTTGGTTCAACTGGTTTGTGACAGGGTGTGGCGGCGAGCCCTTATGAACCTCAGGGTCCCATAGAAGAGCCCATGCTGCATAACCTTAATTTATTAGTAGCCTTAATACGCTGACTAATATTTAAAATTTAACGAGGGGCATATTTTAAGTCTCAACAAATAATCCTCGATGATTAGTTTCAGTGAAATCCAATAGAACCGATCAGTCAATCAATCCTTCGAGATTACATAGAGTCGTGGAAATCCATTTGAGTCTGTCTGGTGGACTAACTCCTCAGAGGCCATCTTATGTTGATGTTTACTCACATCCGCGGCAATTAGCAAAGTGACGGTCCAGCGAGAACCGTCTACCACCACCACGAGCCGCGGAGACATCCCTTCCGTTACAAACTAACAAACAAAAGCGAGGGCCCTCCCCCCCCTCCAGTGCCAGGCACTGCCCGTCCACTGCGATGCAACGAAGACTGGATGAACGCGTCATTCAATTATCTCCGCGGCACTGAATTGGTTTAATGAAACTTGGCTGACAGACGAAAGACAAGATGGCTGGAATGCGTTCCCGGGACGTCACTAGCCACGGGAAATAATTGGGTTCGTTTGATTCTTACTGGAAGACGTTCTGTGATGCTCCTAACCAACAGAGCACACATTCCTCGTGCGTACGGCAAAGTAGAAAACGTGTTGGCGCCTGATCCTCACAAATTCTTAGGTTCGGTTAACACACCCAATGCAAATACGTACACAATTTGAACCAATAAGATGTTCAGAGACAAACCTCGGGGCATCCAGTCCGTCCCGCCCGCCCACCTCGTCTCGGGACTTGAACACTTCCTGCATAGGACACGGTCGCCGATCGTGTCAGATGCAACACCCCGGGAGACGAGGATGCCAGCGACGAGCTGCCTACGCGTTGACCAGAGGACGATATTAAAAATACATCTTAAATAGGATGTGGACCGGACTAAGCTGGCTGGAATTTAGACCAGCACACAGCAGGTCACTCGGGCCAAGGAGCAGCCATGTTGAAGGGGTCAAAGTGCAACCGTAGAATGCAGTCTCTTACAAAAGAAAATAAGACGAAACAAATATAGACTTCTAGTTTAGAGGGAGATTTTAATGCTGGGGTAGAGAGGAGAACAGGAAGACATTTTGGCTGTCTTATTACGGTTTTCGAGATAAACTAACAAACCAACCAAGCAGCGCAGTCTTTCTTACAAAACTTGTATTGCAGTTAACTGAACTTCCCGTCTCTTATGGATCTCGGAGCTTCATTCAGAAATCCACCCTGGACTCTATCCTGTCCGCCCTCTCAAATCCTATTTAAAATCCATTTCGGCGTCTCTTTACTTCTTCCGACTACAATATTGGCGATTGAATATCACAGTCCCGATACGTGCTACATTCCACGCCCATCCAACTCTCCTTGATTTTATATGGCGAAGAGCGCAAATTTCTAAGCTTCTCCGTATTCATCCTATCTCTCTCGCTCTCTCTTGGGTGCACAGAGTTTAAACGCATTAAAACAGAGGACAATCAACAGGGTCCGCACGAGCGCCACAGCGTCAAAACATGCGAACCTCAGGAATTACGTACAACCTGAAATTGTTGTTACGTTGTGTAGTTCGATGACTCTGAGCGCATTCTCCGTGTTTTGCTGACGAAATGAAGCAGCTGCCACAACGCAAGCTCGCAAGAGCCGAGGTCAACGGTCACAGCCATCAGAACGCAACGAGGACACACAAAAATGCGCGAAATTTGAAGAGGAAAAACTGGAAAATACTTGGCGGGCCGAGCGTACGCGGAAGGACAGTAGGAGATAGAAGTGATGAAGATGGGTGAGGTAAAATGAGAGGAGAGAATAGGGAGGAGAAGACAGTGGCCGCGGGGTCAACGCATGGTTCAGAGACGTCGCTAATTTGCGATAATTACTGATCTGTTGGCAGGTTTTCGTTTCTGACAAATAGGCAACTGGATAAGGCATTCGTATTCAGCGCGTTACGACACGAGAACAGGATTCGACCGCCCTCATAAATGTTACTCCCAAGTGAAGTGACTTTTCCCTGTTCGCGAGGTTGCGAAATATTTCTCGTAACTGTACCCACCGGCCTTTTTAAACTTTCCTCGCTTTTCTTTTCCGAGAAAGATTAAACAATCTTGCATAATCTTAAAACTTTGGTATGTCGTAAACAACTGACTAGCGACTGCGTGCAAACAAAACTGAAACCATTACCCAACATTCCATGCGGCATTTTATTCTTAGGACACGACGAACTTGTACTTTTAACGCCATTAGAAACTGGCAAAGTTACACTAAACACTTAAAGTAAACTACTCCGAAAGTAAACTACTTAAGACACATTTCTATAGAAGCGCCAATCAAAAACGCCTTGTGACAAGTTAAGGTGGAACTGTACCATGGCTAGTGGCAGGATAACATTAAACTCAATCTTAAAGACGTGGAATGTGAAGTTGTGAAACAGATTCAAATGACTCAGTACAGTGCCCAGTGGCGGGCGTTTCTGGCCACGTTAACGACATTTCGGGCTCCGAAAGCGCAGGGATTATCTCGACCAGCTGAGAACTTTTTCTCAATGAACAACTGTCGTGCGCAAAAGACAGCACAACTCTTTAGTGGCCAGTACAGTTCTCGCCAACAGCGGGGACTCCATTCTGCAAATGGAGCTTCCATACAACGGCCCAGCTGTTGAAACAAACATCTGTTCGTAACTCTGACATTTGTGGGACAGACACGTGGGCCCCATATTCGGCTCGGGAAACGTTCCTTGTTGTTGTTCGGGGTTTCTATCGTCAGCTTATAATTTAAGTTCGGACCTCGACAAAGTCAAGTCAACAAAACCTGTCAGACGTCGAGGCTGCGTCAAAGGCCAGTGCGCCTCCCCCTCCCCCCTCTGCTCCCGTGCTCTAATGACGCAAATTCGACCGTCATGCCCCGCAGCATTTAAACAGACACCGTCCTGAGAATCTAACAGTCGCTCAGCTAGCCAATAAATTGCCCACGTTTTATAGAACCCTACGATTCAGCCACCAGACTTCATCTTAATTGTGTCATCCCATCTACGCCTAGGTCTTGCAAGTGGTGTTTTCCTCTTGCCGTCCTTTGGGCGAGGCGAGGCCCTTCGGCATCCCTTGGACTAAAATACACCTCAAGCGCCCAAGAAACACAACGTAAACCACATTAATGTGATTTAATTTCACTCCAATCCC